TGCATAGCAGCCTGGGCAGTGTGAACGGGCCTGTAATTCATGCTGCTCTGGAATTTTATTGTGGTTTGAGAGGCAACAATCAGATCAAGCTGACCGAGCGGTGAGTTTTCCTTTCCCTCTTTTTCTTCTTGTCCTCGTGCTAGTAGCTGCTAGGCAAGGCTCTTATGCGCTAACATCCTTCTGGGTTGCCTGTAACTTTGTGCCCCTTAGTGCTATAACGAACTTCGCCTTCAATTCTGGAGTGAGGCAGTCTGTTATGTTCTGGGTACAAAAGCATCCTGGAGCTTCCAAATGCATGTGTCCTGCAGCTCCTGATTGAGCTGCTTCCAGCTTTTCTGATTTGGGAATGTGTATGGAAAGCAATGTTTCATGAAAGTGTTTTTTCACAAAAAAACTCCCGGGGAAAAAAAAAAACATAGAAATGTTGCAAAGTTCCTAGGTTTTCTCAAAAAAAAAACCCCAAAGTTTAGTGTTGCATTTCAATCAGATTGTGAATCAGTCAAAATGAATTGATTTTGTGTAAGTATTTTTCCATCCTCAGTTTTTCATTTAAAATGGAAAATGAGGGAATTAGGAAGAAATGTTGGGAATAAACAAAATGCTTTTAAATGTCTGAATTTGAAATTGCTCAGAAAAGCAGTTTGGAAATTTTTTTTTTTTTTTTTTTTTTTTGAAATCTCCTTCTGGAACAGAGAAAACTTGAGCATTCCAGAAGTGAAAAATGCCACCTGTTCCTTCACAGCTGTCCTATAAAACCATGCAACGCTACTGGCAACTATTAATATCTCAAACTTTTTGATGTGGCATGCACTTAGCATTTGGTTCAGTGTTTTCTGCAAACGTAGAGGTTGGTTTTGCTTTGTTTTCCCAAAGTTCATCTATGTACCTGATCTGGGCTACGTACATCTGACAACCGATCACTGCAGTGATAAGCTGTGGTTCGCGTGTGCAGTGTGGTTGCAGTGAGAATACTTAGTTCGCTATTGTGAAAGATGAAAGCAGTGGAAGGGGGCCAAATTCAAGCTGTTTTCCATTGCATCTGATCAGCAGATCCTATGGAGAGAATTTGCCTGCTGTGAGTATTTGCTTCTCACTGGCTTGAGCTGTCTTGTGTTTTGGCAGTGCTACAGTGTGAATTTGCGGTGGCTTTCCAGGGTGTCTGTCCTACACAACTGCCAATTTGTGTTTTTTTACAGGATTTAGGATTTTGCGCTCTGCTTTGAATGCGTGGGGAAATGACACAATGGTAGACAGTGACAGCACATGGGTCATCTGTTTTTTAAAAAACAGCAGATCAAAAAAACAACTACTCACGAGTGACTGATGTATCCTCTCTCCTTACGCTTTCTGGTGTAGGTGTCTGTGCTGACCGTGATTTTATGAGCTGAGGTTTATTTCATATGCAGGCTACACGCCAGGAAACAAGGCAACTGAGAAAGTTGTCTCCTATCTTTAAAAGATGACAGTGTTGAAATGCAATTGTCCTTCACAGGATTCAGGTGGTCATTGCTCCTTCGTGGGGGGCGATGTGTTGGTGGTGACATTTTGTGGGTTTGTTAATTTTTCTGTTCTTAAATTCAGTCCAGCTAAACATTTCTCTGGTTTACAGAGCAGAGCTATGAGTAACTGCCAGGACTCTGCTTAGGCAAGCAGAAAGTTCTTGTTTTTTAACTTACTGGTAACTGATACAATTTCTGTTTGTGTCCTTTATCAGTCACTGTGCTGGAGCATCTTCTCTAAGCACTCTGTTTACAATTTTTACTATTTTAATTCATGAAACCTAATTTTCTACAAAATCTGGTAAA